ACTCGATAATTCGGTAGATCTTTTATTTTTGGCAAGGAGTGCTGCCAAAGTTTAGAAAAATTTTTAAACAAAATGAAAAAAAAGTTTAATAAGACTATATACAGAGTGATCAGCGAGGAAATAATAATATAAATATTCTATGTTTCTTCACTAAATTCTACGTTCTTTATACAGTTTCAGTTTAGCAAAATAAAACGGTGAATGAATATTTTCTGAGTACTCACATGAGTAACTGAGTACTCACTGAGTAACAATACTCAAAAATTGTTAGTAGTACTAATATGAGTACTCATGGACGAATTATGAGTAAAGTCGTACTCATCGTATGAATACTTTCACTATAGGGTAGTTCCAAAATTTTTCTAAAACTTTTGACAGTATTCCTCGCCAAAAATAAAAGATCTACTGAGTTATCGAGTGTGCTGAATACGAAAAAGCACTTTTTCCCGACTCTAAATGAACTTTATTTTTTTCTTCATGCTGATGCTCAGGTGATCTCAATATTCCCTGTACTATGGTCAGCTTCGAGATAGAATCCGGACAACCGACAGATTATTTGGATTATTCATCTTTATGAATTTAAATAATGTTACAATCAATTCTTTACTGAAACTATACGATACAAACACTTATGAAACGCTCAAAAAGTCAGCTATGAGCGCTATGTTACTGTGCGACATCTCTTTCTTGCAACTATTATCTAAATGGATTCTGAATAATAACAACCAACTATCTTCGTCAGTATACAGTCCGTTTTTTACTGTTGCTTTTCGCCAAAAAGATGATGGATACTATATTTCCCTAACATTCTGATATACAAATACAAATTTAAATTTGTTATTTTGTTTTATTTGACGTACATTGATATATTCAAAAACGGTATAGAAACGTCAACCTACTTCGTTGCTGGTATCCGTGAAGAGCTTCGGTATGATTTTTTGTTCTTTGCATTTCTTCCCTCTGGTGCAAAAGATCGTCTTGTTTCTCACACGTGAACTCATACAGTGTCTTTGAGTTTTATTTGAGTGTGCTGAGAAGAATGTGATTTGAGATGATGTGTGCTGTTTTGTTTATAGATTGATTTTTCTTTGAATTTTTGTGAAATAAGCGCTTGTTGAAAAAAAGCAAAATGTTCATCAAAGTTGCTGACGGTGAGAGTGCAAATGCTGAGACGATCGAAATACCTGTTGAATCGGATGGTGGTTATGTTTCTCTCTCGACGTTACAATCACAATTTCCAAATGTTATTGGTTTAAAATATAGAAGTGTAGACACAAATGTGTGGAGAGGGTATGTAGAATGACTGATTGTTTGTGATATGTATAAGATGAAAATGAGGTTCAGAGCAAAGAATGGAACGTTGGTGAATGTTCGATATGGGAAGCATGTGGCGTGTTTCTTTGATTAGTCAGCGTTACGAGTATAACATTATAAGATCTGATTTTTCGTATTCTTTATGGTAATAAAATATAGAGAGAGAAATGAATGGGAATATCTTCATACTCATGTAATGCGTATTCTATTAGTTATCATGAGCTGATAGAAATGCTTTTGTCAAAATATCATACTACGTAGTGTGTTCATTTTTCTAGAGTCCGAGTGTCGGATCAAAAATTATATCATCCAGAAAGTGCTTGGCAAACAGATATTGTTTACGTTACAGTTTATCCAAAAGGTAATCAGGTGTATTTATTCTGTTATAAAAAATTATTTTTCTGTTTTATCTCTTTAGCTTTTGTTCCAGCAGCAGACTATTCAGATCGTTTAGTCGATGTCAAACGTAAAGGTGATGAAGTTGAAATTGAAACTTCATCCACGTCCAATCATAACTCAATTAAAAATCAACGTTTGGATGGATTGGATAATGATCCTCGTCGATGTGTCGATTTGATTGTACTGGGTATTAATTATCGCAGTAATGAAGAGGATGTACGAAATTGTTTTAGACAATATGGAGAACTCGTTTTCTGCGAGGTAAGCGTGTTTAGTGAGCAAATATGTTCTGGTCAATGTTAAAGGGCTTCTTTCTCCATAGATAAAACGTGATGGAAGTGGAAATTCACGAGGTTTCGGTTTTATTCGTTTTAAAGACTATGAATCACAATTGAATGTTCTAAATAAAAGACATTATATAGATGGACGCGCTTGTGATGTTAAAATACCAGATTCGAAGGTAAGTTACAGGCAATTTCTGTAAACTATTTGGGTCTTTTCCATTCAATCTAAACTGCTGAAAAAGGCAACAAAGATTTTCTACAAAACTGGGTAGTGAAAGAAGGCAATTAATTTGACGAACTATTTTCACAATATAAGCAGTTCAGGGTTTTCTTTTCTATTTTTGTAATTTGTTCTTTACTGTTAGAGCCCCGTTCATGAACCAGAATGTGCTCGTAAGATATTTGTGGCAAGACTGCCTGACATAATCAGTTCAGACGATTTACAACGTTATTTCAAATCTTACGGCGAAGTAATCGATGTTTATATTCCCAAACCATCTAGAAGTTTTGCATTTGTTACGTTCAAAGACTCTACTGTGGTACCTTCATTGTATGGTGACCATTTTATTAATGGTATGTATTTTTCATCAACACGTTTTCGATCTAATATTTATCGGTTTACAACCAAAAGTAGCTTCGCGTCGGTTTATTCCGACATTTTGGTACTCTGAAGGTTTCAGTTTTCATTTTCGTTTTAGGATGTAGTGTTCATGTTGGACCAGCTGAACCCAAAAATAAGCCAAATGAAAATCAATTTAAACGTTCTAAACAAGGTTTGTGCATGTGGACAATGAATTTTGAAATTCATTTCTTTTTCTTTTCTAGATCATCATTCACTTCAACGTTCATCTTTAGTTCATACTCAGCCTCATACATCTGTCGCTCCTCATCAGTATCATTCACATCATCACCATTCACCAACCCCTCAAGGAACAAATAATGATATGTTAATGAATATGATCAATCCTGCTTTGATGGTAACATACGAGGTTGTTTGTATTAATTTCACTGATTGTTCATTAGTTTTGTTTCAAAATTTTAGCAAGCATTTTTGTCACAATTTCAAGCTGCACAACAACAACAACAGCAACAACAACAACAAGCACAAAAAGGATACGACTGGCCTACAGATCCTGGATCGCTTGCCTATGCCAGACATAAATATGCCAGTACGGAAAATGATACATGGCAAACAACTCAACGTAATTTATATCGTTAAACAATCTTTTTCTTCGTCCTTGTACGAGTGTGGTACAAAAATTTTTTTCTTCTCGTCTTTTGTTCTATGCATGATTTCTTAATTTTTCTATTTGTATGTATGTGTGTGTGTGCGTGTGTGTGTGTGTGTGGCGTGTGTGTGTCTGTGTGTATTCGCGCTGTTTGTAATTTCTTTTATTTAGATGAATGCTCTCTCTGTTAAAACAAAAAATTTGATTCCACAGGCACAGAGAAAGAGATCATAGACTAAGGAAAAGAAAAATCTCATCTATCTTTTTCAGAATTTGTTATAAACAAATCGTATTTTTCTCATGTGTGTTGTTTTCTAATCTGAACATTCTTTTCGACACCTTTTTTTGTATAGAAAATATAGAGTAACAAAAAAAGACTTGCGAAAACGTTCATTTGAATGGACTTCAAGTTTCTTTGTATGAAAATTAAAATCTTGTTCTTTTGGATACTGTATTGTTCTGTGCGCAAGTGCTAGTCCGCAGCAAGTGAGCTTTTGAACTGTAAATATTTTTAATTGTGGATGTTCTGGATAATATTGACGTTAACTTATTTGCTGTCGTCCTGCATAAGAAGGGAATCAGTTTACATAAATTAAAATATCACAAATGCGTAGTTTGACTAACAAAGATTTTCGGAGAGTTTTATCATACATGTGAAATACATTAAGATTTTCTCGTGCTTGTTGTTATCGATTGTTCACATGTTCACTTTTAGATAGTATCATCATGTCAACAATGTCATCGAATAGATTCAACAACACCAGCGATATCACTGCAACATCTCCATCGCCTATAACAACATCAAAAACATTTCAATCGGCATTAGCAAGTGTTTCACATGCACTGAATGGAATCAATGTTCCTGCTGATTCAAAACAGTTATCCAATAAAATGGCAACAACTACTTCAACACCCCCAATAACAGAATATCCTGAAGATCGTTCGTCGAAAGATTATTACTTCGACTCTTATGCACATTTTGGAATTCATGAAGAAATGTTAAAAGATGAAGTCAGAACATTAACTTATCGTAATTCAATGATTTATAATCGACACCTATTTAAAGATAAAGTTGTGTTAGATTTGGGTTGTGGAACTGGTATGTATTTTGTTACAACTATATGAAAGATAAAGTATAATGTGATCATGTTTTAGGAATTCTCTCGATGTTTGCCGTCAAAGCTGGTGCGAAACTTGTGATCGCCATCGATATGTCGAATATAATTGAATATGCTGAACAAATAGTCAAAGATAATAATCTGTCAGATAAAATCATATTGATTCGTGGAAAAATCGAAGAAGTTGAATTACCAAAGGGGATCACGAAAGTTGATATCATTGTATCCGAATGTAAGTTATTCAGACGAATCAATTATACTTATTTTCGTTAAATACGGAGAATGCAGTTGTTCAGGTAATCGTTATGTACCAATTTATATATATTTGATTGTTTCAGGGATGGGCTATTGTCTATTGTATGAATCAATGTTAAATTCTATTTTGTATGCAAGAGACAAATGGTTGGATAAGCAAACTGGTCTGATATTTCCAGATAAATGTAATTTGTATCTATGTGCTATTGAAGATCGTTCATATAGAGATGAAAAAATTAATTGGTGGTAAGATAACCAAATTATATATATATATATATACACAGAGAGGGAAAAGCCACTTTTGGGTGGGAACACCTTTGCAAAAAGTAACTTTTAAGTGAAAATAGTGGAAAAAGTAACTTGTAGTAAAGTAAGTGTAAAAAGTGGGAACGCCATATAAAGTGACCTTTTCCCCCTTGATATATACACACAATTGTAAGACTACGTTTCAAAGATAGTTACAGACAGCTTGAGCGTAAATATTTTATTCTAACTACCTCATTTACAGTTATAAGAAATTTTTGAATACCTGATCTATGACTTATACAGTTTTAATAGTACATCTTTACGTGATTCTAGGTATAATGTGTATGGATTCGATATGAGTGCAATACGTGAAGTAGCTATTAAAGAACCATTAGTCGACTGCGTGGATAACCGCCAAGTTGTAACATCTCATTGTCTATTGAAAGAATTTGATTTGCATACAGTGAAGATTGAAGATTTATCGTTTGAAACACATTTTCAATTAGAAGCAAAACGTTCAGATTATATACATGGATTAGTAGCGTATTTCAGTGTAGAATTTAGTAAATGTCATAAATATACTGGATTTTCGACGGGTCCCGATTCATCGTACACACATTGGGTAAGCATTTATTAATTAATATTATTTTATTGTCAAGATTATCTCTGTGATATGCTTCTTTTAGAAATCGACCATTTTCTATTTGGATCAAGATGATATACAATTAAATAAAGGTGATAAATTAAATGGTATATTCAAATTAAATCCAAATCCAAATAATCAAAGAGATTTAGATTTTGCAATTGAATTAAGAGGTGAAGGGCAACATTTGTCAAATACTCAATTCAAAGGAGAATATAGAATGCATTAACTTTCCGTTTGTTATTATTTTTTTGTTTTTTTATGTCAACTTTCAAGTATTTCACAACCATTTGAAAGACTAAAAAAATATCTAAAAAAATTTTTTGTTAAAACTATTCTGTTTTTCCTGTTTCTTCTTGTTGTTATTGTTGTTTCCTGTTATTATTTTCTTCATGGGAAATGTATCATGAAAAACGAAATGGCTAAACTATAAGAAAAGAGTTTTAACCGTTAAAAGCACATTGTGTGTGAATGACAAAATTGACCTCTACACTATGTTGACTATGATAAAATTTGAGCAATAGTGAAATGTTTAAAGATTGATTATTCCGATAACTTATTTTTGGACGTTCGGTTTCATTCAAAAAATTTAGTGCTACAAAATTATACATAAAAAAACGGTGTTTCAGTATTACCACTTTAACGAGAATTTTCTTTAATCAGAGAAAAGTTGCTGCAAGTGTGATTCGTAAATCAATCGATTAAGCCGCTGATTATGTTTGCAAAGAAGTAATGGATTCTTATAACTAATCTTCAAAGTGAGACTAAGACGAGTTCTCTGTGAACGATAAGAGAGGAGAACTATCCGGAATGGATACCAAGAACACCACCCAAAATAGATGAAAAAGTGAAAAACTACTCCAAAGCTCATCGCCGCCTGATAGTATTTTTTCTTGTTTGAATCGTTTATTAAAATAAATTATGAGTCAATTGGTTGATCAAAAAGTACACTTTGAGATGTATCTATCTCCATTACAGAAATGCTCAAGTTAACCAATTCTGGAAACCATGAATTTTAAGAAATTTTTATGAAATATACTGATGAATTAGCTATGAGACAAAATACATGAGTTCAGCCTTTCTCATCCCATCATTTAAATATTTTTACCTAGTTTTTTCGGATAGATTTACCAGAAAACTTCCGTTTGTCCCATTTTTTCCGAAGTTTTTAAAAAGAATTTTCTGACCTTCTTTCAACATAAAAATAAAATCATGTGATAGTCGCTTGCTAGAGAAACCCGACACCGCACAGTGTGCATTTTTCCATAGGCTAGGCGAACATTTGATATAGAAGCAGTCCGAAAGTCTATGAATTTTTTACAAGTATATGATACAATCACCTTCAGATATGCTCTTTCCAATGGTGTGTTTTATAAAGTTCAAAGAGACTTTCATCTGGGTTCTCCATAGGCCGAGTCTCTATAAAAATCTACATATAAATATTTTGGAAGTTTATAAACCGCACCATTGAAAAGAGCATATCGGAAACATAACATCCGGAAATCGCCGTCGCCGCGGATTCAGTCTTAAAGTGTTAACACTTTAGCATTAACACTTTAACACTTTAACATATACGAACTCGCAGCGAGTGAGGGTGAAGGTGGAGAGGTGAGAGTGAAGTGGGTGAAGAAGTGCTCCACCCTCATCCTCACTACTTCACCCTCATCCTCACTACTTCACCCTCAGTTATGCACGTTTATCCTTTTACACTTTAACACTTTAACATATAAGAATCCGCGGCGACGGCGATTTCCGGATGATGCCATCGGAAAACCTGTAAAAAAAGTATTCATAAACTTTCGGACTGTTTCTATAGAAAATATCAAAATCTTTAGCCAACATTATGACTATGCTTCGACTTTAGCGTTTCGTTAGATCCAACAAGTTTTTGGTCAGAAAAACCTACTCATCGGACATCATTCGATGTAGTTTCTTGCGCTGATTCTGAATATGTCATTTTTATTGAATAAAAACATTTCTGGATCGAGAAAAATGGAAAATATCTTTGAAAACCCAGTATTTTTGGAAAACCTGTTGTAAGGTTCAGAAATATTTGCGTATTTTTGTGCATTCACCATAGATGGATGATATATAGAAGACCATTCTGTGAAATGTTGCACAAATTTTGACTTGGGATGTAGAGAAGTGCTCATTTTACTAAAAGTAGCCGTTTAGAAAACCACTTAAGAAAAAGTTTTATTTTTTTCAACAATCTCCAACGTAAGCTACGAACTTCTTTTTACTTTTTATAATTAAGGTAATTTTTGCGTAGCTGATTTCCCATAATCCATGAACTTTTTAATAAAAATTTTTGTACCATCAGATCGAGCATGTCTTCTTGAAGTATAGTTTCGACGTGTATTAAATTTGTACGCTTCCTTAGGTGTTCACTATTTGAATCGTTTAAAAGTCGTTTTCGATTTTTTCACCGCCTGGATGTACACTGTGCACCGATGTCATAAAGTCAAGCAGATACTCATTGATGTTCAATGAAGAAACAGAATGTTGGTGTTCGACCAAGAAGCCACCATAGAAAACACAAGAAATTTTTTATAATTTTGATGAATTATTGAAAATACATGATATGAATTGAAAATAAAAAATATTGAAATACATTGTCAAAGCGAACATGTAATCAATGTTCACTTCTACACATAAGATTGCTTTATTAGAAAACAGAATTGATTTCTTTTAGAAAACAAAAATTTGCATATATTAACAACACTGATACGCTCAATAGTAATATTTATTTATTATTCATATGATTTTTATTCATATTCAAAGGAGATCTTCTTTGACAGTCGTTATGAAGATCTGTGAAACCTTGGATAATCGTGTACTAGCTCTAAAGATGAAGGATATAATGACCATTTCTAGATTCTTTTCATGGAAGAAAGAGAAAGAAACTTTTTTCGAGAAATTCATTGGGAAAAAAATGGTACAAATGAAAAGAAAACGAGGTGAAAATAATTTAGTGTGAGCATTGTTCAGTCTTACCCTATGATATGAAAGTTTTTCTCGTCAAATACTAGTATATTCTTCTTTGTTTTCTGGTCCACAGTAACCGAATGAAAGAACTGTCTAGAAACAGCTATACATTGTCCATCTCTGTTATCTGTCTAAAAAGTACTTTCCAATTTTATTATTCTTAAATGTTAAATGTAAGCTATATCTTATTCTAATTGAGAGATAAAACGATGTATAATATGATGACATGCAAAATTTTCTCTTTTTCTAAACATTAAATCTCTATGACTTTATGTGTTGATGTTATATTAATTAGTTGTCCGCACTAGAAAATAAGAAATGATAGATACTAAGTCTCTCATGTTGAGCAGAAACCGAGTTTTATTTTTTGACAAATGTTGTCACTTTTAATTATATTTTTTCATTATGAACACCATTTTTTATTGTCAAAAACATGCCTTCACTGAGTAATAGTTATTTTATGTTAAAACTAATAAAGTCTTAGCAATGAAGAAAAATCTTCAATGAGAGAAAAGAGAAAGGACAGCTTATTCAAAAAGAGATACAAAATTCAGGAAGACTCAAGGGGAAAAGTGTTTTTCCAGATCAGTTTTAATCTGTGGATAGGTAAGATTATTTTGATGTAATATTTATAATACATAAGCGTATAAAAATCTTTTCTTTGCATTTTATATATTAAAACCAGCTAAAAAATAAACTACATTTAATTATTAACAGAATTCTAATAATTTAGAATAATTTTTCATTTATCTAGAATACATGAAAGTATGGTTTATGGTATTATTCTTGAAAGTGTACGTATTCATATTATCGAACGTTTTGGCACTCAAACATGGCATGAAATTCAAGAATTACTTGAATGGGATTTCGAAGCGTTTAATTTGTATCAATTGTATGATGATCAGTTCATGCAAAAAATAGCTGAAGGTATGAATTTTATTTATACGACAGTACTATGATACAGAGATGGGCGAGTATACGGATTTCTGAGTAAGAATACGAGTATTGAAGATCAAGTACGAGTAGAAGTACGAATATTATCTGAAAAGTACTCGAGTAGTACTCTTCTGAAGAAGCCGATGAATTCGAAAAAATTTTCGAATAAATCCATATTTTTATACGCAAATAGTAAACAAAATGTCACCAGTTTTTTGGAGAGTACTCGAGTATTTTTTTGGAATACTCGTTAAAAAAAAAGTCCCGAGTACGAGTACTAAGAATTTCGTACTCGCCCATCTCTGTATGATAACATTGATTATACATTGATGTTCTCTCTCTTCCTCTCTTCTTCTTTTAGCTTTACCGGATATATTACACGAAGGTATCAAAGATTCAATATTGTCTTTAAATTTTTAACACATACTTATTTTTATATTAAGGAACAACCGATAGTTATATGCAATTTTTTGGAAAATGTTTTGTCGATTTTTTCACGAATTATGGTATATTAAAAATTTTAATATTTTAAATCTATAAAATAGTTCATAAATATTTTTTAAAGGTTATGATAAAATACTGCGTGTAGCTGGAAGACATTATCATGATTTTTTACTTTCAATTAATCAACTTCATGATAGTACAAGATTTAGTTTTCCTCTAATGAAATCACCATTGTTTCATGTTTCTGATAAAGATGAAAATGGTGTTGTCTTTCATTATAAGTATGCTTTTATATTATATGATTAATAAATCATTATTACTAATATCGTTATACTATTGCTAAGATCAAGACGTCGTGGATTTCAACATTATGTTATTGGACAATTGAAAGAGTGTGCATCAAAATTTTATCATCTTAATATTCATATTCAAATACAACATGATATATCAACAACTGAACGTATGTATACATAAATGGTGTATAACTTTTTACTATATACGTTCTTCAATTTTTTTATTTTCAGACAGTCACTTTATATTCCGAATAAATTTCGATAATTCAATTATCAATGAAACATCTAAAAGTTTAATGCACACTCTAACACTTCCCAATGTTTCAAGTTCAACATTTTTCAAAGTATATATATTGTGTTGTAGAATAAATGAGTTACAACTGTTTTTATTATTGCCTATTTCAGGTATTTCCTTTTTGTGTTGTTTTTGATCCAGATATGCGTATACGTCATCTTGGAAGAATTATTAAAAATTTATTTCCATTAGATTCTTTTCCTATTGATCATCAGTTAGAAGATGTATTTCGATTAGTTCGACCCGATGTTAAACTTATATGGGATAAGGTATGTGAAATAAAGAGAAAAACGAAAAGTTTTTTGCATAATTCTTCTAAGAATTAAATATTCATATACTTTAGATTTTATATTATGGAAAACATATCGTATTTGTTATGGAAACTAAAATTCCGTTAAGACATAACAGTGATGATAAATATCCAGTTATTCGTTTGAAAGGTCACATGAAACTAATCCCAGATTGGAATATGATCATTTTTTTATGTCATCCATTGTAATTCTTTGTTTTTCTTATAAAACAAAATTAAATATGTCTCATTTCTTTTAATTAGATTATCAACAACGGACGAAATGTTAGCATTAGGTTTATGCTTGAATGATTTAAATTTTTATGATGGTAGTAGTGAAATATTAGTTTCAGGCATGCATCATGATCGACAAATTCAATTAGCGATTGATAAGGTAAATAAATCTATGAAAATCATAATTAAGAGAAGATAAAGGAGAAAAGTCATTATTTTTCTATTGTATGGCTGATTAAAAGTGCATAGTTCTATTCATTCTATAGCAACATTCATGGATAACACAATTACAACATTCTAAACATGAATTGCAAGGATGGCGACGAGAAAGCAGACGTCTTTTATATTCGGTAATGCCACGTCATATCGCTCAGATGTTAGAACAAGGTAAGTATCTAACAGTTGTTCGATAAAGCGTCTTAAATGCATTAATATTTAGTCTTTTTCAGGCGTATTGGCAAATTCGATATGCGAAGTATGTTTCACATAAGCAAAATGATTATATTAAGAATATCATTATTGAATTTTTTATTTAGTCTCACGTATTGATAACAATTTTGTTTGTCTATTCAATGGATTTTAAAAATGTTGTTGATAAACTCGAACCAGCAGAAATTGTTGACTGTATAAATCAAACAATTACTACCTTTGATAAATGTACCGAAAAATTTGACGTTTTTAAAGTAAAAATTGAATTTATTTTCTGAAAGAGCACTACACTAAAGAAATACGAACTTTCAGGTTGAAACAAAGGCTGATTTATCGTATATGGTTGTTGCTGGTATGAAAGATCGATATCGTCGTGAATCAAACATGGTACGTTAAATTCGCAATAAAACCGAAAAAGCTGGCGAATCTTGTAAATATTTACACACACTCTGTTCGTTCATTTTTTAAACTTTTTATAGAGTACTTCAGTCAGTCGCTGTTCATCAGTTGTTGGTGACGATGAAGATATTAAACAGAAAAATCCATTAGAACTGAATCAGGCAGAAATAATCAGTGGTTTAGCATTAGACTTATTAAAAAGTTCAAGAATACTAATAAATCCGGCCACTAAACAACCATTACGATTTAAAATCGGTATGTTTAATTTTGGACTGTCGAGAAGATTGTTTTAACTTTTTATTTCAGGATTTCACTCCGGATCAGCGGTCGGTGGAATCGTGGGAAATAAAAATTATCAATATTGTCTATTTGGAGACGTTGTTAACACTGCTTCACGAGTGACAACAACAGGAGATGTACGTTTTAACTACTCATACGTTTTTAGTATTTTATTTTAACAGAAGACATCAAGTTTGGACAGTTTGTCTAAATGTAAAACCAATAAAAAAATGTTGATTATCATATCTATATTCATATTAGGCATGCACCAGTTTTTAACTGGTGTCGGGGCATCCGGGAGAATTGCTATACATCAGTTATCATGATTCCCTCAGAGCTGTGAAACATCTCGTTTTGTAGAAAAATGTTTGCTCTACAAAATGCATTTGTTAAAAAAATTCCAGAATCATTTCTAAGGAAACTGTATAAAATCACGGAAAAAAAACTGTTCGAACAGTTTTTTTTCCATGATTTAATGTATTTTTGAATACTCTAAGTTTTCTTAGAAATGATTCTGGAATTTTTTTAACAAAATGCATTTTGTAGAGCAAACATTTTTCTACAAAACGAGATGTTTCACAGCTCTGAGGGAATCGTGATAACTGATGTATAGCAATTCTCCCGGATGCCCCGACATCAGTTAAAAACTGGTGCATGCCTAATTCAGATTGGGTGACGTTCATTAAAAAAGCTTCCATTAAAATATTTTTTTTAATGAAAGTACCGGAATTTTTATTAAAATGTCTCCTGCAAAATTGCTGTGACCTAGAGTATTTGATGACACAAGAATTTCATTAAAAATTTGAATAAACTTCTTTTTAATAAAAAAACTTTTTTATGAAACTTTGATATCCCCCATATTCACATCTATAGAAAGTTATGTTTTAAACTTTATTGAATCAGATCAGATTGAGAAGGCTATTGCTTCGTCACAATATTCTTAACAAATATATATGCTATTATTCTACACAACTCTTACGACTCTTAAGTGATGATACGATCATACCAGTTACAAAAGTTCTATAAGTCCTAGCAGTCATAACAGTTAAAAAGCTATGAAGAACATGAAAGTTAAAATCTCATGGGAGTCATGAAAGAACTAAAGTCATACAAGTCGAACGGTTATATATGTCAAGCATAGCCGCAAAGCTAAAATTAATATATTCTATTAGTCATATAAACTATGTAATAGCCATCAATTGTTCTTTCATAACAGACATAAATCCTTTTATGAAATAATTCTTATCTTTGACAAACTATGTTCAAACTTCATGCTCTGTTTTATCAAATGATTTATTTTATAGATTGGAAAAATTCATGTATCCGAAACTTCATTCGAATTATTGCGAAACTCGCCGTATTACGAGTTAGTTTTTGCAGGAAATACAGAAATGAAGGTAGAATACATATACGCAGATAAATTTGGTTACATATTTTTTGTTGTGATTCTATATTTAGGGCAAAGGAGCAATGCCGACTTATTGGTTAGTCAGGGCAATGCAAGCTGCTGAATCAATAAATAATCTGTTCAGATATGCACATACGTCAGCTCCAATATTTGAACAAATTTATGATAACCGTGCAAAAACTACAACACCTACGCTATACAATGATGTCAATTGTACAATAAATGATGATGACCGTAATAAAAATGACAAAATAGTGACAAGTAATGAACCTTCAAAAGAACCAATAAAAAGATCGACGAATAAAACAACTCCAGTTATTCCATTACAATGTCCGTTTTCGGGCAAGATGTGTTACTGATATATCACGAACAAGTGTTAGCGATGTCAATAAATTTAACATTTAGATTTTTTATTTTAACTGACTATTCACGTACTGAAAAAATGGGTTTTATGGAAAAAACTGTACAAAAATCTTATCGGATATTATTCTTCAGAACACGGGACCAACATAAAGAACAGCCAAGTATCGTTTTCTAATAACTTTTGGTAATCTTAAAAATGAAAGTATAGGTTATCAACCATACTGAATCTCGTGACAATGTGTATTTACAGAAAAACTTCAAAAACCTGCTGAAAACCTGTATAAGGAACCTGTTTTTAGCTATTTTCACCGAAGTACATAACTCACTCGAAAATGATCGAAATCACTTTAGAATATCAGGTTATACTCTTTTTTATTCTTTGGATCTGATTGACTTAAGATCACTAAAACATATTTTCTTACTTTGGACGATTTTTAGAAAATCTTATCACAAACCATCTTATATATTCTATCAGTTTTCAAAATGCTCACTGAACTTCATGGAGTAGTGTAGATAAAATAGAGCA